GAGTTCAGCCCCCAGTCCTCCTCCTCAGACCCAGGTGTCCAGCCCTGAGCCCTCTTCCTACAGACCCTGGAATCAGGGTCCCTAACTCACACCAAATAGCATTATGGGGCATTTTTCTTTCCTGAACATGAGGAATGAAGGCAGGGCTCAGCTGGATATGGGTTTGTGTTGCAGGCTGGGCTCCTGAGCCCTCTGGGACTGCCTCCTTCTCTGAGCTTGGGTTGTTTCCTCCATCTGTGTGGGGTTCCAGCTTGCTGCCTATACCTTCTTCAAACCCTTACTCATACCTCAGAGCTCAGAATGTATCATGGGACATGCTATGACAGAAACAGTGACAGGAGCCAAAGAGGAGAAGCCCAGGAAACCTCTCCCACTGTCTTCAGCATCGAGACCCCCCCACTGCTGAGTGTGTGTCCTGCCCTGAGTCCCCGAGCTCATTCTGCAGCCACCATCCTGGGATCCCAGCCACCTTGGCCACCAAACTAGCCATTCACAGGCTGGAGACATGGCTCATTGATTACAGCAAGTGCTGCTTTTGTAGAGGACCTGAGTTTGGTTCCCAGCACCCACATGGTGACTAACAACCATCTGTAACTCCAGTTCCAGGGAATCTGATGCCCTCTTCTGGCCTCCTTGGGCACTGCACTCACATGCACAAACACACACACACATATACATACTTTTTATTTTATGTGTTTGAGTGTTACACTTGCATGTATGTAAGTGCATCACATGCATGCAGTTCCCACGGAGGCCAGAAGAGGTTGTCATGTCCCTTGGAACTATTGTTATGGATGGTTGTTAGTCACCATGTAGGTGCAGAGAACTAAACCCAGGTCCTCCCTCTACAAGGGGATTCTAAATGGTTAAGCCATCTTTTTTGTCTTTTTTGAGACAGGGTCTCCTTGTAGCCCCAGCTGTCCTGGAACTCACTATGTAGACCAGGCTCGCCTCAAACTCACAAAGATCCACCTGCCTCTGCCTCCCAAGTGCTGGGATTAAAGGCATGTGCCACCACGCTCGGCATATACATATAATTTTTAAAGAAAATGTAGCCATCCATGGTGATGCATGCCTTTAATCTCAGCACTCCAGAGGCAGAGGCAGGCAGATCTCTGTGAATTTGAGGCCAGCCTGGCTACACAGCTAGCTCAGGCTAGCCAGGGCTACACAGTGAGACTCTATCTCAAAACCAAAAAGAAAGGTGACTCAGCTGTTAAGAATACTGGCTGCAAGCTAAAGAGATGGCTCAGTAGTTAACAGCACTGGCTGCTCTTGCAGAGGGCCCCCGCTCAATTCCCAGCACCCCCCACATGGTGGCTAACAACTGTTCATAACTCCAGATCCAGGGGATCCAACGCCCTCTACTGACCTCCATGGGCATTGCACAACATGGGTGCACTTACATAAATGCAGGCAATGCGCTCATACACATAAAACAAAATAAAAATAATTAAATTCTTTTTAAAAAACCTGGCCATTCAGGGTGACTCAGACCCCCTCTTCTCACAGGAAGCCTGCAGTGCTCTGGGTCCCCCTCAATAACACTTATGAAGGAGCCATCAGTGGTAGTCTAAGCATGAAGCCTTTGCCTTGAGAAAGCTCACATTCTAATGGGGGAGACACAAAGTAAATGAACAGGTAACATGGTGTCTAAGCAGAGATGGCTCTGTGGGTCAAGCACTCACCATACAAGCCTGAGGACCAGAGTTCAGATTCCCAGAACCCATTAAAGCTGGGCATGGTAGTGTGGTTCTGTCCTCCTGCAACAAGATAGAGGGTAGAGGTCAAGAGAACCCCCCAAAGTTCATGGGTGAGCTAGTCTGGTGTACACAGCGGTGGACAACCACAAAGACCCTGTGTCAAAAAGGGGGAAGGTGAGGATTGACACGTGAGTTGTCCTCTAACTTCCACATGCACACCGTGACAAGCATGTGGCCACATTTACACACTTACACATGAACAGGCACACACACACACATACACACACACACACACACAACACACACACATGCAAGTGCTCTGGGGAAGAATGAAGCCCAGAAAAGGGAAAGAAGAGGTCAATGGTTAAGAGCACTTGTAGCTCTTGCAGAGGACCTGAGTTCAGTTCCCAGCACCCACACGACTGCTAAGAATCCCCTGAAGAATCCCCTGGAATTCTAGCTCCAGGGGATCCAGTGCTCTCTTCCAGCCTCCAAAGGCACTCATGTGCACATGCACACATACACACAGGGACACACAAATAAAAATAAAATAAATATTTTTTAAAAGAAAGGGAAGAGGGCTGGAGAGGTGGCTCCTCCAGTTAAGAACACTGGCTGCTCTTGCAGAGGACTTGGGTTCAATTCCCAACACCCATATAGCAGCTAACAACCATTCATAACTCCAGTTCCAGGGGATCCAACACCCTCTTCTGACCCTGGGCATTGCACAATATGGGTGCACTTACATGCATGCAGGCAATATACTCATACACATAAAAATAAGAAAATAGCCTGGCGTGGTGGCACACCTACAGGGAAACCCTGTCTCAAAAAGACCAAAAAATAAAAATAAATAAAAATAAAATAAAAAATAAATCAAAACAGAGGGAGAATTTAGGAAGTCCTCAACATGTTCCCACATGGGCTAGAGCACCTGCACGCACACACGCGCACACACACACACACACACACACACACACTAGTAAGAAAGACACTGGTCTAAGTTGATAACCAGCTAGCAGGTGGAATGTCAGATTTGAAACCTGCGACCCGGAGAGCAGATCAGGGGCTGACTCAATCCCTCTTACCCTCCCCCGTTCTGTGGTTCCCACCTGACCTTACCCACAATCCTTTCTCACCTGGGATCATGCAGGTACCCTGCTCTATACCTGGCCCCAGTCTTGCCTGCTCAGAATCTGCTGGTGGCTCCGGGCTTCTTGGATAAAGGCCTCTGTGTTACAGTCCGTATGGGACACGGCTCTGACCTGGCCTCGCTCTCCCCTGCCACCATCACTGTTTAAGTACACAGTTTCTCCTGCTGTTCCTTGAATTCTGAACTCCACTCCACTCAGGGCCTTTGTACTCACTGCTCTTTCTCCTAATAGCGTCATGCCTCACCCACTCCAGGTCTTCGCTTTGAGTGACACCTGCTTGGAGAGGCCTGGCTGATCACAGATTTTAAATTACAGCACTTATTTCTTACCTTTCTTTTTAAATTTTTATTTACTGTTTTATATGTATGAGTATATCTGCCTGGATGTGTGTAAGTGTGCCCATGACCTGCAGTGCCCACAGTGTTTCATTATGATGTTTTCATAAGTGTGTATAATGTACTTTAATCCTATTCATGTTCACCTTCTTTTAATCTTCCTGCCCCACCCCCTCCCCCCTCACCACTGCTCTCCCTTCTTCTACTTTCATGCCTTTTTTGTTGTTTTTTGAGATTGAGTCTCATTGTAGCCCAGGCTAGCCTCAAACTCACTATGTAGCCAAGGCTGGCCTTCCTGATCCTCCTACCTCCACCACCACCACCCCCACCATGTATTGGGATTACAAGCATGCACTACCATGCTAGGCCTTTCTTTTATCAATCTTTTACTATAGATTTCACAAATAAGAGGAAATGGTATTTACCTTTCTGAAACTAGCTCATATGGGCAGGCAAGATGGTTCAGAGGGTCAAGGTGGTTGCCGTTAAGCCAGATGACCTGAGTTTGATCCCTGAGATCCACATGATGGAAGGAGAGAACCGATTCCTTCAAGTTATCCTCTAACCTCCATGTGCACACATTGGCATGTTGGACACCCCACATTTACACACAAATAAATATCAACAGTTATTTTGCTTAATATAATAATATCCAGTTCCATTCATTTTCCTATAAATGTCATTTCTTCTTTGTGGCTGAATAGTATTCCATTGCGTGTGTATGCCACATTTTCCTTACTCAGTCAACCATTGACAGGCACCTACGTTGATTCCATAACTCTACTATTATCAATAGTGTTGGGCAAGTCTCTTAATATTCTGGGCCTCAGTTTCCTCATCTCTATAAAGACACAGGTACCTCATCGAGTTTTGGAAAGAAATAATATGTATAACTTAGTAACAATCCTGCCTCCATCTCCCAAGTACTGGGATTGCTGGTGTGCACCACCGTGACCAGTTTATGTAATGCTGGGGTTTGGCTGAGGGCTTCCTGTGTGTTAGGCAAGCACTGGACCAACTGTTTTGTTCTGTTTTGTTTGAGACAGGGTCTCACAATATAACTCAGGCTAGCCTGAAACTCACTACATAGCCCAGGCTGGCCTCAAACTCAACACAGTCCTCCTGCCTCAATCTCGGTCTCCAAGCTCAAGGGTTACAAGAGTGGGCCACCACATTCCGTTTTGTGTAAAGTATAATGAGAGAGAGAGAGAGAGAGAGAGAGAGAGAGAGAGAGAGAGAGAAAGAGATCTTATCCCTCAGCTCCACAGATTGAAGAGCGACTGACAGAAATTTCCAAAGGAAGACAAAGAGGACAGGAGGGGTCCAGAGTCCAGGGAAAGAGCAACCATGGACAAAAGGTGTACTCAGGGCCAGGCTGGAGACAGTCAGCAGTGTTGATCACCTCTTCCACGCTCTCCTGGTGACCCAGCTGTGTGAACAAGTGGCCTAACCACTCCACACCTAACTTCCTCATCAGTCAAGTAGAAATCCAACCTCCACCCACACCCTCAGTGCAGAGGAGGACTCCAAGAAGTATTTAAGGAGGAGCTTTAACACTCCATACTCATGACAAGTGTGACAGCAAATTGTTGTTATTATTTTGTTGCTACAACGGACACACATAATTTCCCGGCTCCTCTACAGCCAATCTAGCACCCACACACACATACACACACATTACAGACTGTGTGCCAGCCCCGCCCCCAGGCCACCTTGGGCCAGCAGTGCCAGGTGAGTGCTCAGGTATGCAGAAGCCACAAGGCCTGGGAGGAGGCAGAAGGAGGAGCCCAGACTACAAGGGAGAGAGCTGAAGGCTGAGAGCCAGGCAGAGCTGGCAGGCAGGTGAGGAGGCCTGGACCCAGGGAGAGGCCAGCAGCCAGGCAGGAACCCAGTGTGAGGGAGGAGGCTGGGGTCTGGGCCCCTGGGTCTGAGGGAGGAGGGCTGTGGCCTGGACCCCTGGGTCTGAGGGAGGAGGACTGGGGTCTGGACCCCTGGGTCTGAGGGAGGAGGGCTGGGCCTGGACTCCTGGGTCTGAGGGAGGAGGGCTGGGTCTGGACGCCTGGGTCTGAGGGAGGAGGGCTGGAGTCCAGATTCCTGGGTTCAAGGGAGGAGGGCCGGGGCCTGGAGCCTTGAGTCTGAGGGAGGAGAGCTGGGGCTTGGACCTCTGGGTCCATGGGAGGAGGAGGGCTCAGGTCTGGAGCCCTGAGTCTGAGGGAAATGAGCTGGGGTCCGGGCACCTGGATCTGAGGGAGGAGACTGGGGCCTGGAGCCCTGAGCCTGAGGGAGGAGGCCTGGGGTCTGGACACCTGGGTCTGAGGGAAGAGGGCTAGGGCCTGGACCTCTGGGTCCATGGGAGGAGGAGGACGGAGGCCTGGACTCCTGGGTCTGAGGGAGGAGAGCTGTGTCAGGATCATGTTCCTGAAGCTAAGTCAGAGGCTCACACTTTTGTTGGTTCCCAGGGCACCTTCTGGTGGACAAGAGCTCCCCATTTCACCACCATGAGTACCACCACAGGGTAAGTGCCCCTGTCCTCCAGGCTGTAGCCCCTCCACCCTTCCCCCACACCTGTAGATCCTGTTTCCACAGCCCAGGCTCTCCTCCCTGCCCAGCCTGTGGCTAGGTGCAGTCAGATGGGGTTCAGTTATGAATGGGCATTCTCCTCCGTGGTGAGACTTTGTCAGGGCCACGCCACTTCCTGCAACCCCAGCCCCTCCACTGTGAAGGAGGGACAGTTTGGAGAGTTGACAGACTCACACAGGCACAAGACCTAGCAGACTGACCCCTCAGCAGGCACTCCGAACTACCCTGTGCTTGTCATATCGATATTTAACGTTGACCCTTTACAAGAAAATCAAGGCTCAGATCTCCCAGAGGGAGCAAAGAGAAAGACACGAAGATGAATTGAATGAAGGCAGAGGCGGTAGTGAGCTCTCCAGCCCAGAGGTAATCCAAATGTGGGGACATCTGACAGGCAGGATCAGGCTAAAGGGCAGGAGTCTGGCTAAGAAGGTTTCTCACTTCCCCTCAACCTCAACCGCAGCTGCTTATCTCTGAGCCACTGCTATTTTGGTGGAAATGAGAATTTTAACAACTACAGGGGCTGGGAATGTAGCTTAGTTAGTAGAATGTTTGCCTGGCGTATATGAAGCCCTGGGTTCGGTCCTCAGCACCACCTAAACCAGGCATGGTGGCGTACACCTATAATCCCAGCACTTGGGATGTAGAGGCAGGAGGATGAGGAGTTCAAGGTCATCCTGGCATACATAGTAACTTTTAGGGTCAGCCTAGGCTACATGAGACTTTGTCTCAACGAAAAAGAATTATTGCAGTTTGTGACTCTAAGAGGAGACCAGGGGCAGGAAAAGACAGAGAAGGATTTGGCTGGGAAGAGCCTGACCCACTGGTGGGAGGAGGAGGAGATAATTCCCTGACTACTTCAATTCCCGTTTATTGAGCAATAGCTATGTGCTAAGCCCTGCGTGTCGTCATAGTCAGAATAATAATTATTATTGACAAACACTTCATCTGCCTTACTGGGTTGGATCTGTCCACAGCTTCACCAAATAGATGCGGTATATTGTGTATATGTATCTATGTTGTATATATGCATGTGTGTTGTACATATGCTATATGTATGTAATATATATTGTATGTATGTAACATATATGTGCTGAAAGAGAAACTGAGGTAGGAGAGATTAAATCTCCTCATCAGGGTCTTGTGGGATTTATTTTGAAAGATTTATATTTATTTTTATTTATTTATATGCATCTGTATGAGTGTATGCCACACATGTGCAGGTGCCCTCAGAGACCAGAAGAGAGGGTCAGATCCCCTAGAGATTAAGTTACAGGTGGTTGTTAACTTCCATATGGGTGCTGGGAACTGAACTTGAGTTCTCTGCAAGAACAGGAAGTGTTCTGAACTGCTGAGCCATCTCTCTAGCCCCAGGGTCTTGTTTGTTTGTTTCATTTTGTTTACAGGATCTTGTTCTTGTTTTTTGTTTTGAGACACAGTCTCACTATGTAGCCCTGGCTAGCCTCAAACTTATGGAGATCCTCCTGTCTCTGCCTCCTGAGTACAGGGAAGACAAGTGTGCAGTAACTACACCAGAGTCTCTCTATGGTCTTATATGTGTGCATGTATGTGTGTGTGTGTGTGTATGCCACATGTGTGCAGGTGCCCCCAGGAGCCAAAAGAGGGCATCAGATCCCCTGGAGCTAGAGTTACAAGTGACTGTAATCGACCTGATGTGGGTGCTAGGAACCAAGCTCAGGTCCTCTGGAAGAGCAACATGTGCTCTTAACTGCTGAGATAACTGCCGGGCCCCATCTGACCACAGTCTTATGACCAGGAAGCAGCACTGAAGACTCAAATCATGAGTTGGGCGTGGGGGTCCATGCCTATAACCCCAGCACTTGGGAGCTAGAGGCAATAGGACTAGACTGTCAAGCCATCTTCAGCTACACAGTAATTTCAAGGCCAGCTTAGGCTACATAAGACCCTGTCTCAGAAAAGCAAAAACAATCTGGTGCACACCTTTAATCCCAGCACTTGGGAAGCAGCAGCAAGTGGATCTCTGTGAGACAGAGGCCAGCCTGTCTACGTAGTGAGTTCCAGGCCAGCTCTGGCTACAGGGAGATTCTCTCCTCCCTCTGCCCAACCCCCCCAAAAGCAAAAACAAAAATTTTATTAATTAAAAAAGAGAAGACTTGAACCCAGGACTGTGTGTTGTAGAGATCTTTGCCCCCACCCCGCATTACCACATTGCACCATCTTAAATACAAGCATAGGCCCTGCTCTACCCTGCTTGAACCTTCCATGGCTCCTCATTACCATCACAATGAAGTCCTTACCGCTTTGGCTTTCCTACAGGATCTATCTCTACCTCTCTACCTCCCCAAATCCCTCTCATTCTTTTTTTCTTTTTTTAACCCTTCACCAGCCCTGAAGCAGCACCCAAGCCAAGTGCCAAGTCTATCTATGGTGAGCTTCGGTGGAACGGGACAGAGAATAAGAGTATGGGGAAGTGGAGCTAGAGGCTGGAGCCTGGGTCTGAGGAAGGAGGCTGGGGTCTGACTCCTAAATTCAATCTTTGTCCCCTCTTCTCCCCCAGAGCAGAGGAAGCGTTACTCCACTGTGGTTATGGCTGATGTGTCTCAGTATCATGTCAATGTGAGTCCCGGGTCTGTGTTTCCCCAGAGAGTTTCATGGGGGAGAAGTATACCTGGGGTGACAGGGATTTCGAAAACAGCCCAGCCATCAAGCAGAAAAGACTTTAGGAAACTCAGCCCTTCCCTCCCTGTGGACTCCCCTGCCCCATTGCCTCAGGGGTTGACAGAAAGCCAAGGATCTCAGCTCCATCACATCTGTGGACTCTATGTATCCTCTGGGCTGCATGCAGGGCCAAATCAGCCATGATTCTGTAAGACAGGCTCCAGAGACCCCAGCAAAGAGTGCAGTATGCTTTAACACCAAGGAGAGGAGGCACTTAAGGGAACTAGATACAATCCTTACCTTTTCCTGCCCTTGAGGGGCCTCTAGTCTTAGTGAGAAGACCCTTCTCCAAGTCCCAGTCACTAAAAGAGGCTTGGTGAGCTCAGGGGCTATTTTTAGGATTCCTGGTCTGAGGGAGGAGTGCCAGGGCCTGGAGCCCTGAGTTTAAGGGAGGAGGCAAAGTCTGGATTCCTGGGTCTCAGGGAGGAGGTCTGGGGTCTGGACACCTGTGTCTGAAGGGGGAAGACTGAGGTCTGGACCCCTGGGTCTAAGAGAGGAGGCTAGGGCTTGGAATCCGAGGTCTAAGGGAGGAGGACTGGGTTTGGGACCCCTAGGTCTGAGGAAGGAGGGCTGGGGTCTGGACCCCTGGGTCTAAGGGAGGAGGCTGGGGTCTGGACCCCTTGGTCTGAGGAAAGAGGGCTGAGGTCTGGATCCCTGGGTCTGAGGGAAGAGGCTGGGGTCTGGACCCTTGGGTCTGAGGGAGGAGGGCTGGGGTCTGGACCTCTGGGTCTGAGGGAGGAGGCTGGGGTCCGGACCCCTGGGTCTGAAGGAGGAGGGCTGAGGTCTGGATCCCTGGGTCTGAGGGAGGAGGCTGGGGTTTGAACCCTTGGGTCTGAGGGAGGAGGGCTGGGGTCTGAAGCCCTAGGTCTGAGGGAGGCTGAGGTCTAGATTCCTGGTTCTGAGGGAGGAGGCTGGGGTTTGGACCCCTAGGTCTGAAGGGAAAGGGCTGGGGTCTGGAATCCTACGTCTAGGGTAGGTAGGCTTTGGCCTGGACTGAGGGAGTCTTCCTGAAGGAAGGCTTCCTGGAGGCGGTATGGCTAGGCTGGTTGGAAGTCTGTCTCCAGAGGCTCTTAGCTCACCTTGCACCAGTCTAGCATCATCTGAGACTCATTACTTTCTTTGTCTCCTGACAGCACCTGGTAACCTTCTGCCTGGGGGAGGAGGATGGTGTGCACACGGTGGAAGACGCCTCCAGAAAGCTGGCCGTCATGGACAGCCAGGGCCGCGTCTGGGCACAGGAGATGCTACTGAGGGTGTCACCTGACCATGTCACGCTGCTAGACCCAGTCTCCAAGGTGCCAGGGGGCACGTGGGTGGAAAGAGTAACCAGGCTGGGATCCGAGCGCGAATCCTAGCTCCTAAGCATCCTTCCCCTGGGAACTTTGGCAAACTGTCTCAGCTGTCTTTTGGAACCTTACCTGTTAAACGGAGTAGTAACACCGTTTCTAATCCCCTTAAACTCGGGCAGTCGCCTTGCCCCAGCTCCTGCGCCTACTGGGCACTGATGTAGTAGTATCAGGGCTGGAAGTCTGTACCTCAGTTTACACTGGGGTCCCGTCCGGCAGGAGGAACTGGAATCCTATCCGCTTGGTGCCATCGTGCGCTGCGACGCGGTGATGCCCAGAGGCCGGAGCCGCTCGCTGCTGCTCCTGGTGTGTCAAGAGCCCGAGTGCGCACAGCCGGATGTGCATTTCTTCCAGGGCCTGCTCCTGGGGGTGAGTGGGCGTGGCTCCAGGGGGCGGAGGCAAGTCGGGCTTCTAGTTTCGGGGCGGGGCTTAAGGAAAAGGGAGAGGCCTAACTTAGGAAAGCGGTTCTGGGAGGAGCAAGGTTCGCGGACAGGTGGAACTCTGGACCAAGACAGAAGGTGACGGCGGGATGTGGATGCAGGCGAAGGGCTAGGATGCTCAGGGAAACAAACCGAACCTGGGAAGGGAAGACGCGGGGAGCACGCAGAACGAGGAGGGCCGATGGGGTTGGTCCAAAACAGCCGGAGGCGGGGCGCTGAAGCCAGGGATGTGGCCTGGACCACGCAGTGGGTGGGGCGTGAGAGGCGGTGATCTGACAGTATGATTGGCAGGCGGAGCTGATCCGAGAGGACATCCAGGGGGCTTTACAGAACTACCGTTCCGGACGCGGGGAACGCAGGGAGGCTGCACTCAGGTGAGGCAGCTGGACTAGGAGAAAGAGGCAGGTGCAGAGCGCTCTGGGAACCCTCTTCTCCACTCTATGGACCGCAGTCTTCTCATCTGAGAAATGGGCTGATACGTACAGCCTGGAGCAAAACGGGTGTTGAATGGAAGTCACAAGCTAACCGCAGTCAGATCTTAACCTATACCTCCTAGACTAGATTAACCCCTCTGCAAGACTGTGCTTTATAGCCTGTCCTATGGTTTCTCCTCTGGCCCGCGCCCCTCACCATACCAGATTTTCACCTATGAAACGTTCAGCCTACGTTTGACTCCTTCCAGTCTCAAGTCTCTTATACCCACCCTCAGTTTCCCCTTTCTTGTTGCGCAGAGCCACTCAGGAGGAGCTGCAACGTGGAGCCTCGCCCGCCGCGGAGACGCCACCCTTGCAGCGTCGCCCGTCGGTCCGCGCGGTGATCAGCACCGTGGAGCCGGCCGCGGGCCGCGGGAAATCCCAAGTAGAACCCATTCCGGAGGAAACGGGGAGACCCCGCCCGGTATGCACGGCGAGCGGCGCTGACCCGACCTCCCCGGACCTGGGCCCGCGGGGCCCTGAGCTGGCCGGGCTGCAGGCGGAGCGGGACGTGGTAAGCCCCGCGAGGCCACGGGTGGATCCACCGGCTTGGGAGACATTCCATGTCTATCAAGTCAGATGTGGGGGGCGGTGTTCAGTAACCCGGGATCTGGATACGACCGGCTCGGGGGTGCGGCAAAGTTCTAGGGGCGTGGTCAGTCAGGAATAAGCCCGCCCACTGCTTCAGTTGTGGGCGTGTCCTGGTATGGGGGCGTGTCCAGGAGCTCTGCGTCAAGGCCAGGACCTAGATCAGGGTTTGAGACTCAGCTCCACGCGCGCCACTGCTCCGTCCCGCAGGATATCCTGAACCACGTGTTCGACGACGTGGAGAGCTTTGTATCCAGGCTGCAGAAGTCAGCAGAGGCTGCCCGCGTGCTAGAGCACCGGGAGCGCGGCCGCAGGACGCGACGCCGAGCTGCTGGGGGTAGGGGCTCCAGAGCGCACTCCAGTCCTGGATGACTCCCAAATGCCCACCGTCCCCGGGGGCTCCCACCACCATCTGTCTGGGTGTCTAAGCCTTTCTAATGCTGCCCCTGTGTCCCCCCCCAACTCCCTCCCCCCCCCGTCCACCCACCCACCCCACTCCCAACCCCGTCTACAGAGGGCCTACTGACCCTGCGGGCCAAGCCTCCCACCGAGGCTGAATACACCGACGTGCTTCAGAAGATCAAGTATGCCTTCAGTCTGCTGGTGAGGACGCGACCATCGCCGGCTTGGGGGTGGGGCGAGGGGAACTATGACCCCGAACTATCATCCATCATCCGTGCATCCCGCTCCAGGCTCGGTTGCGTGGCAACATCGCCAACCCCTCCTCTCCAGAGCTGTTACACTTTCTTTTCGGACCTCTGCAGATGGTGAGACCCACTCCCAGCCCCCAGGTCGCCTCTGCTGCGGAGGGATTGGGATTAGACTTCAAAATGTCTAACGGTATGTTGGCCTGGTAGATTGTGAACACTTCTGGCGGCCCTGAGTTGGCGAGCAGCGTGCGACGGCCGCACCTGACGTCGGAGGCCGTGGCGCTTCTGCGGGACAATGTTACGCCTCGTGAAAATGCGCTCTGGATCTCGCTGGGGGACTCCTGGACCCGCCCAGGGTGAGAAGCGGAGCTGAAGGGCAAACGCTGTGAGGGTTGGAAAGAAGGCAGGGCTAGGGATGGTTGGAGGTGGGGCTTATCTTGCCGGGTGGGGCTAAATAAAAGGAGGGGACGAGACTTAGGATAAAATGTCTGGATTCAATTGGAGGAAAGGTTTGGAATTGGGGCTGGAGAGATGGCTCAGGGATTAAGAGCACTGGCTGCTCTTGCAGAGGACCAGGGTTCTCATGGCGGCTAAGGACCATGCAATCCCAAGGGATCCGATCCCCTCTTCTGTGGGCACTGTGCACACGTGGTACACTTACATACATGCAGGCAAAACATTTATGCACATAAATTAATTTTAAGTCTAGAAATTAGCATGAAGGAGAGGTTTTTGATCTAACTAGACACTCGGATTGGAACAAAAGGTAGGGCTTTGGAAACTGGAGGTAAGGGGAGAGGGTGCTTAGGTGAATGGGACTCAGCTACAAGGCTGAGGCGGGGCTTACGGAAGCTGTGACCCGCAGGGCTTATGGGAGGTGTGGCCTATAAATTGAGATGGAGTCTGTACTTGGAGGCTTTGGGGTAGAGCCCAAGACTCCCAGTGGGTGAAAGGCAGGGGGGACTCATCTAAGCAGTTACCTTAGCCAATGGATGGGCTTGAGGGCGCACACCTACGATCCCAGAGCTTGAGAAGTGGTAGCAGGAGGATCGGAAGTTCAAGATCATCCTTCATTACTGAGTGAGTTTAAGGCCAGCCTGGGCTAAGTAAGACCCTGTCAATAAAAGGCGGGGTGAGGGGGCTCAAGATGGCTAAAGGTACTTGCCATACAAGCCTGACAACCTGAATTCATTCCCCAGAATCCATGTTTTAAAGATTTTGAAGAGAATCAGACTCCACAAAATTGACCTATGACATCCACGTGTGTGCGCGCGCGCACACGCGCGCGCGCGCACACACACACACACACTCATACACAGTAATAAATATTTTTTAAACGGTGGCTAGAACGTGGGTGTGGTGGCGCATGCCTTTAATCTCAGCACTGGGGAGGCAGAGGCAGGTGCATCTCTGAGTTTCAGGTCAGCCAGAAGAGACATCAAAGGCTGGGGGAGGCACTGGAGTGGAATTAATGTGTTTGGAAACATAACTGGGGCTTAGGAGAGCGGTAAGGCTTGGCGGAAAGGGCTGGTGTTAAGAATCCTGGAGACAGAGCCAAGCTTACCGCGGAAGAGAAATTTTGTGAACCGGGACTCAGTGGGGCTGAACTATCACCCGAGTCTCTGACCACAGGGTGGAGCTGCCCCCGGAGGAAGGTTCTCCATACAGTCCGGAGTTCTGCAGCGGTTGGGAGCCTCCCGCCACTGACCCGCAGGGCCGCGCCTGGGAGGACCCGGTGGAAAAACAACTACAACACGAGCGGCGGCGCAGGCAGGTGAGCCAGGGGCTCCCCACGAACGACACGACAGGGGAGCCCCAGGTGCAGCTTGCCTGACCCCAAGCACTCTTACTTCCCGCAGCAAAGCGCCCCCCAGGTCGCTGTCAATGGGTGAGTGTCCGCTGCAGGGTGGCCAGGGAGGTGTGCGAGGACTGAGTCCCGGGGTCACCCGGCGCTGACTCTGCCCCTCCCCTTTTTTTCCTGGTCCTTTTTTCCTCTGCCTTCCCGGCTCTTCGCAGGTGGGTGCGGTGGTGAGGAGGCGGGGCCGGGGCTGGGACAGGGGGGAGGAGCTGGGAGGGAGCGGGTGGAGCCCAGATTTCTGGGTCCAAGGGAGGAGGGAACGGAGGTTTAGATTCCTGAAGATACAAGAGGAAGGGACTGGGGGTGGGTATGTCTAAGGGCTAGGATCCCGGGGTCCTCCAAAGGCCGGAAGAGCCCAGTTTGGTTTTACCGACCTGAGAAAGCACCTCACCTGGGTTCTCAGAGCACAGAGCTCTGAGCGTTCGGGAGAAGAGGCTGGGGAATTACAAGTACGAAGAATTCAGGTCTGGCACTAGGGATCCTGAAGACTCAAAAGCAAGCTTGGGACTTCAAGAGGTTGGGGACAAGTTTGAGGAAAAGTCAGGAAGTGCTGGAATCTCTGGGCCCTCAAGAGAGGCAGGATTTCTGGCTTCCAAAGGCTTTAAAGAAATAATCCTGGCTGGGAGCAAACTGGGAGGATGCTGTCGTTACTAAAAGGAGTGCCTAGATGACTGGAAAGGAAAGACCTCGGGGTCTAAATTTATGGTTCTACCAAGCTGTGGGGTGCAGGCCCAGTGGAAGGTGGTGAAGAAGGGTCACAACTCTAGGGTCCTTGGGCAAACTGGGGGCACAGTGGAGGGAGTGGATGGCGGTTGAGAAGGAAAGAAACCAGTGAAGAAGTGGGGGAAGATGAGTGGGGGTCTGGGTGAGGGCCCAGACCAAGGGTCTCGGCAAGGACAGCATACTGGGAGCTGCCAGCCCCACACAGGGGGCGCCGCAGCCCTGAAGACCCCCCCTCTCCCTTGCACAGGTAGGCCTGATCGGGATGAGGTGTGTCTTGGGGGTCAGAGCCAACTGTCCCCCAAGCTGCATGGTGTTGCAGGACTCTCTCCTCTGCCCGCATGCTTGGAGTCTTGGGATCACCTCCAGCTTTTCACCCCCCTTCTCTAGTTGCATGTTCTTTGCCTGGAGGTGCAAGATATCTCTGATGCCATAAGGAGCTTGTAAAGAGCTCAAGACAGGCACAGCTTGAGTTCAAATTCAGCTGCATGAGGCCCCCTGATAAAGAGTGCCTGGGGCCAGCACACTTAGACCCCTCTCTTGCTCCCTGACCTTCACATCACTGTGCCTCAGTTTTCTCCGTGAAAAGGGAAATAATAGCTGGGCTGTGGTGTTGCAGGCTTGTAACCCAGCTACTCAGAAACATGAGGCGGGAGGATCAAAGTTCAAGGCCTAGGGCTGGAGAGATGGCTCAGTGGTCAAGAGCACTGGTTACTCTTGAAGAGGACCTGGGTTGGGTTCCCAGCACCCACATGGTAGCTAATAACCATCTTTAATTCTAGTTCTAGGGGATCCAATGCCCTCTTCTGGTCTCCTCGGGCATTGCACATGAGTACACACATACATACAGGCAAAACACTCATACACACAAAATAAAAGCTAATAAAAATATTTTTTTAAGTTCAAGGCCTGCCTGGACTACAAAATGAGCTTAAGGCCAGCCCCAGCAACTCAGCAAAGCCCTGCCTCAAAATAAAAAAATAAAAAGAAGGCTTGACTAGAAGAAAAAAATAGCTCAGTGGTAGAGAACTTGTCAAGAAAAGAAAAAAAGAAAAAAAGTTGGGCATGGTGATAAACACCTTTAATCCCAGCACTTGGAAGGCAAGAGGATGTCTGGTCTACATAGCAAGATCCAGGCCCCCTGGGGCTACAGGGAGACTCTGTCTCAAACTAACAAACAAGAATCCATCAGTGAAGAACTGGGGTGTGGCTCAGCAGTAGAGCAATTGCCTAGAATCCAGCAGTGAGGGGTTAGTATGACTCCATGGTAAAGTGCTTGCCCAGCACTGAAGGGCTGGGTGCATGGCTTAGTTGTAGAACCCTCTCCTAGAATCCACCAGAGAGGGGCTGAAGTGTAGCTCAGCCGGAAAAAAACTTACGTAGAATCCACCAGTGAATGACAGAGGCATGGGTCAGTGGCATATCACCTGCCTACCAAACACAAGATTTTAGATTCAATCCTTAGTACCACAAAAAAAAAAGGTGTTGGGGGGCGTTGGGGGGAAGAGGTCTCTGGAGCAGGAAGGAACTAAGCAGGGTCCAAATTCATGGAACTACCACCAGTGAATGACAGAGGCATGGGTCAGTGGCATATCACCTGCCTACCAAACACAAGATTTTAGATTCAATCCTTAGTACCACAAAAAAAAAAAGGTGTTGGGGGGCGTTGTGGGAATGAGGTCTCTGGAGCAGGAAGGAACTAAGCAGGGTCCAAATTCATGGAACTACCAAGGATCTCCAGGAGAATCATCAACTACAACAATAAGTAAGACTTTGAACAGCAAAGGGCACACAACACTACACCAGTGTTAGCTGCTGCTCAGCAAACAGCTGCTGTTTCTACTTATGTGTTCTGAGTATCGCTGCCCTTGCTTATAAAATGCATGTGAGGGGCTGGGGATGTAACTCAGTGGTAAAGCATTTTTGTGCATGCACAAGGCCCTGAGTTCAATCCCCAATACCCTCAAAGAACATCCAAAAATAATTAGTGATGATAGTGCCCCTATCACATGTTTACTGCACAGCGCCAGGCAAAGGAAGGAGCAGACTATATTCAAGTTGGACTCCACCTACGTCTGTATTAACATATTAACCTAGCCCCTTGCTTGGCTCTAACCCTACCTCATGCCAGCACCCTATAGCCCATACCAGCAAGGCGCGGCTAGTTCCTCATCATCAACTCTCCTGATTCTTCCCAGTCATCAAGATCCAGATCTGGAAGCTGAGCCCCAGCTAGAAGAGAGAGCGGGCAAGTGGGTCCTGTGTAATTATGATTTCCAGGCCCGAAATAGCAGCGAGCTGTCGGTCAAGCAACGAGACGTGCTGGAGGTAGAAGTTGGGGAATAAGTCATTCCAGCCCTAGGTGCAGAACCAGATCCTGAAGTTTCTCCTTATACGCTACCTAGGTCCTGGATGACAAGCGGAAGTGGTGGAAGGTTAGGGACCAAGGGGGACAAGAGGGCTATGTACCCTATAATATCCTAACACCCCACCCTGGACCTCAGGTGGGCCGCAGCCAAAGCCCTGCCATAAGCCTGGTGAGTCAGGGCGAACCCTTCTGCCTTCAGGGAGAAATGGGGAACAGATCCTGGGGATAAGGGCCAGGAAAATCAAGTGCGGAAGGCACTGATGTAAAGAGCGGAGTGTGGCTGGAGTGCTCTCCCTGACTCTCTTCATTTCCTCCTAGGAGAACAGCACTCCTCCCCCACCCGCCCCTGCTCCAGCCCCTGCACAGGTGCGGCCCCACTGGGACAGCTGTGACAGTCTCAACAATTTGGACCCCAGCGAGAAAGGTGAGTGATGGAGTGCCCCGGCTAGAGAGCGGTCCTTGTCTTCGCTTTCCAGGCCGGAAAACAGGCTCCAGAATAAATGGACTCCAGACCCACCCTGGGGGATGCTAGAGGCTCCCGATCCCCCTGGCCCCAGGACCCCTCGCCCTGAGTGCGCACTTCCTTCCCGGTTTCCCTCTCCGGCAGAGAAATTCTCCCATATGCTCAGTGTCAACGAGGAGCTGCAGGCGCGCCTGGCTCAGGGCCGTTCGGGCCCCAGCCGGGCAGCCCTGGGGCCCCGCGCCACAGAGCCGCAGCTCAGCCTGCGCTCTGAAGCCTCGGACGTCCGTGCCTGGCTACAGGCCAAGGGCTTTAGCTCCGGGTGAGTGGGGCCCAGCCAGTTCGCAGAGGCGCTAGAGACCCTGAGAGCCGAGGCTCAGATTGGCCCCGGGGTTAAGGGGCGTGGACACCACGGAGAGCAGGGGTTGGTCCAGAGTGAAAGTGTCTGGGCGCAAAGCCCAATGACAGGCCCCAATTAGAGAGCAGAGGGAAGCCCCGCCCCCTTTCTAAACTCCTGGCCTGGACTGCCGCCGAGTGCTCCCGACCCCCTGGGAAAAGCAACTAGATGGGTGTTATGTGATTGGCGGGGCCGAGAGTTTGAGCGGTGATTGGCCCCTGCTGTCTGGCTCAGGACGGTGGATGCGCTGGGCATGCTGACGGGTGCACAGCTCTTCTCGCTGCAAAAGGAAGAGTTTCGGGCAGTGAGCCTCGAGGAAGGGGCACGCGTGTACAGCCAAGTCACCGTGCAGCGTGCGCTGCTGGAGGTAAACGGGTTGCTATCCCTGGGTCCGGACCAGGCGGGGGTCGCCAGGGACTCCAGATACCAAGGTTCTGGTTTCCACCCCACCCTCTAGGACAAAGAGAAAGTGTCAGAGCTGGAGGCCGTGATGGAGAAGCAAAAGAAGAAAGTGGAAGGCGAGACTACAACAGAAGTCATTTGACCCTTCTTGGCTCCTTCACCAAAAGTGCTGAGACAGCGGAGTTCCCCATGTCCAGTGGGACAACAGACGCCAGACTCCTCCCTATCACGAGTGGCAGTAGATCCCCTGAAGGATCGCCCACCCTGGTCTCCTCCCGATCCTAACGGGCCAACTGAACAGGACAGTACCACCGGGAATCCCTCCTTAAGGACCTCGGACTTGTGGGAATGGGGAGGGGGGCAGAGCTGAGAAGCAACTGACGAGTAGACAGCGGAGAGAGCGCAGTAGAGCCCTGTGCATTGTGATATGCTGCGGGTCTATAAACAGCCTCCTCTTGGCAGGCCTTGTCACCTGCTGTCTCTCTCTAGCCAACTACCAGGGAGTCCAGGAATCTGGGAGGTGCCCCCACCTTCTTAAGTTTCTCTCCATGAGCACTCTTCTCCAACCCAGGCTTCCTCCTAAGCAGCTAGTCTGCCCTCAGGCTAGCCCCATCTTCTACAGGCTTAAACAGCTTCTGCTAGCTGGACAGCCTTTCTCTGCCTGGTGAACTCCCATTCAGCCTTCCTGGCCCAGCTGACATATCCACACCAGGTGCGCCTGTGCCCAGCCTCCAGAGGTCCAGCCTTAGGAGATCTGGCTGCTTCCCGGGCATGCCTCTGGCTCCGGTGAGAGGATTTTCCTGCCCCCTCAAGAACTATTTCCGTTTCTCCCTGGCAAGCCCTGAAGCTCGTCCCAGTGGCTAAGGGCTAGATATCACTCTGACTTTAGAATGGCTCTTTCTCTGCCAGCCCTCCCCGCCCCACCCCATCCCCGAAACACCCACTTCAAACACCCACTTTCAAGAGTCCTGCCAGCACTCCAGTTGGCCCATAGGCCTCCCTGCGCAGTTGTTCGTTCCTGGGCCAGCAGATGGCGCGCCTCAAATCCAACTTCAGACAGTTCGCCCTGTCCCTTTTGATGCCTCCTGTCCCACTTCTTCTGAACACCAGCCACTGCAGATCTTCAGAACTCCTGTCCCTACTCTTCAAACACATCTCTAGTCTTTCCCATGACCCAGGGGGTAAAACCCAACCCACAAGCTGACAGACTGTGGATTACCCACCCCACCCCGAACCGGCTCAGGGCGAGTACCTCTTCCCAATTCATAGCACTGGTTCATGGTGTTTCCTCTACCAGAAACACCTGGCCCTGTACTCTCATCTCTGGGTGGGCTGCTACTCCTTCTATCAGGTTTTGTTGGGAGAGAGTCTGGCTATGTAGCCCAGGCTGGCCTCGAACTCTCAATCCTCGTGCCTCAGCCTCCTGAACCCTGGAATTACTGGCAGGCACCACTGTACCCAGCTATCACCCTAACAGGAACCACAAATACAAGAAGTTACCCAAACCACCTTGCTTCATTTCCCCATGTTAGGCCCTAAGGCTTCCATCACCCAGGCTGCAGACTTAGTGCAGGCAGGAACTGGCCAGCGTGCTGGAACATCAGCTGGCTGCAGCTCCCAACGATCTGGAACCTGATCAATTCCCACCAATGTGTTGTCCTGGCTTCCTGTTAACCTCACCCACCACCCCCAACCTCCAGTCTATAAAGAGCTGCCAGAAGGACCTGTTAGGGCTCAAGTCCGTCCTCCCACCTCAGAGCTCAGATTCTCAGTGGAGCCACATCCCTGCAGTGTTGTCACCTCTTTAAGCCCATCCTCTGCTACAGCTTGCCAGCCCAACAGCTTCTTCCTGTGCCTTAGCACACCAGGTCTGGCCTACCCCAGGGCCTGTATACACCTAGCTCTCCTTGTCCAATGAGTCCTGCTGACACACAGCTCACTCTCTACCACCTTCAAGTACCTGCCTGTACTGGCTTTTCTTTGAGGCCTACCTATCCTACACACACACACGCACACACACACACAAACACAAACTACATATCCACATCACATGGCAAGCACACCCCACACCCTGACCTCCTCCCTTGCTCTGCCTCCTCTACAGCACAACCACCTGATAGCCATGCGACACTAGAGACCGCACCTCCTAATGACTCAGGAGAAGAGATGCATGTGCCATTACCAACTGACAGAATGCAGAATGGACACATGTGCCACCTCAGGACAGCTCCTGCTGTCTGCCCCAGTCACTTGGTCATGTAGGACTGAAGGACTCCTCACCACTATTTCCTCCTTTTCCAGAAAAGCCACACTTACAGATTTTTCTTTGTGGATGGTGCCATTTTCAAGGCCAGCCACCGACCTCATTTGTTTCTGAGGCACCAAGGGCAGATCTGAGCTCCCCAGCCCCAGGGCCACGGAAACACATGCTTGCTTCATCCAAGCCTTCCCACCTTGCCTATGATCACTTCAGCTTGGCTTGGGGCCTAAGCTCCAGTGGCTCACTTTATCAGGATGCCACCCCCCAACACCTGTGAGCAAGCTCCTAGCTACCCTCAGCACCCCATCCAAATGGGCATGGCTTAGTCAGTCATGCACCTGAGCGTACAGGCAGGAAACAGCACCCCATCCAGCTGGAGACCAAGTCGCTGAGTGGCAATGTCACGGCTTTTATTTGTGGTGCCTGTGCTTTGTCTCAAAAATACCTTCTCCCCCTCCCCAGACAACAGGTGAGGAGGGGGCAGCAAAAAAATAGAAGACATCCCTCCCTATTGCACATGGACCCTATATACAGGCCCAACCGGCACAGGCTGGAGGGCTCTTGGCACATTCCTGGATCCCTACTGGGGAGGGGGAGGGGTGCTGGGTGGCATCACACGTGAGGTGGGACCCCCGGGGCGGCCTCTGCTCCTGGCTGCTGATTCTTGAGTTTCTTGGTCCTTGCTTCCCTTCCTGGTCCCATCTCTGGCCCCGGTCCCCTCTCAGCAACATCCCCCTACCTGGCTCAGCCTCCCACCTCCATCCTGGCCTTGGGGGCCCTTCCCGCTTGGTTCCTGGGGACTCTGTGCTTTCCTCCTGGTTCTGAGGTCCCAGGAGGAGGTTATGGCTTCTCAGCGACTTCCCCTGGAGCCCTGTCACTCGTGTTCACTCGGGGGAAGGGGTGCGTGTGTCAGAAGCAGCTGTATAAATACGGGTGTGGGAACTCCTCCAGAGTCACTTAGACAGTTTGCTGATGACGCGGATCAGGGCTGCATTCTCATCCTTGAGCCGCTGGTTGTCAGCACGGAGGTCAGACAGAGCCTGGGGCACAGGGTAGGGTCAGCTGGCCAGTGCTGGGCAGGAAGGGCCACAGCCCAGGCCCATCATGAGCCCCGGTACCTTCAGCTCTTCCTCTAGTTCTGCTGCCTTGCGCTCCAGGGCCCTGCGCTCCTGCAACACATGGGGCTGGTTCAGAAGCCGGATGTGGCCCAAACTCAAAACGGGTAAGGTCCATGGTCAGGGCAGAGCCAGGACACCGCAGTCCCACCCCCAGCAACCCCAACTCACGAATCTCTCCAGCTCCAGAAGGGCAGGCCTCTCAGCAAAGCGTTCCTGCCTCTGACGAGAAAGAGGGAATGAGCTCAGGCGCTCCTCATTCCTCCGGAAGGCCAGCCAGAAGCCCCGCCCCCAAAAGCTGCGGTGGTGGGGGGCAGTCCCTCCAAAGTTCCTGCCAGGGCCCTGCTTCCCAAAGCTCTAACCCTGCCCTTCAGCGTCCGGTGGTCCCCAACGCTGGGAATCCTGGTCTGGGCATCTGTACCTGAGTGGCCCGCTCCAGCTCCACCTTGAGCTGCGCCAGCCGCAGGGTGGTCTCCGTCAGAGCCTCACGCAGCCGCTCGTTCTCCCTGCGCAGCTCAGCATACAGCTAGGGACATGAGGAAGCAGGCGGGCTCAAAAGGGGCAGGGAAGCAGCAGGAGCCAGCACAGGGTGGGATGGGGCGCGGGCTGGGATGCTGCACCTTCCTGAAGCCTCCATCGGGTTCTTCGGGTTCTTCGTGTTCCTGCTCGGGTTCAGGGTTGAGGTCTCGCAGCGAGCGCGGCCTGCGGACTGTGGAGCCGCCATCCACACTGCTGAGGAGTAAGGTGCAGATCTTAGGGACCCCGCCCCACCCTAGAGACACCCCCTGCCCCGCCCGGAGACACGCCCTGCCAGCCTACCTGCACTCTGAGGTGAGCTCCGCAGGCTCCGCCTCCTCCCCCTGCGGGAAGGCAGGACAGTTCAACCCAGTCCCACCACAACATCCCCATCCTCTCCAGCCCCACCGTCCCGGCCCTCTCCAGCCCCACCGTCCCCGTCCTCTCCAGCCCCACCGTCCAGGTCCACTCCAGCCCCACCGCCCCAGCGGTCTCCAGCCCCACCGTCCCCGTCCTCTCCAGCCCCACTCCCCTATCCCTCACCTCTGCAGGCCCCCTCCGCTCCTTGCCGACCTTGTGGTGCTCCCTGGCTGCCTGTGGTCCTTGGCCCTGCCCTTCGGGCGCCTCTGCTGGGGAATCGGCAGCAATCAGCCCAGGCACCCCCAGAGGTGCTCCTCTGGAATGTGGAGTACCTGACTCAGACCCCCAGCAAACAAAAAGGCCTTATGGAAGAGACTGGGTGGCTCCTGGGGACCCACTTATAGAAAGCAGACCTCACCTCTCTGGGCAGGGCCCTCAGCGTTCTCCACACCAGGGACTCGGGGTCTCCTAGAAGGGTCCTACCAGGGAGGGAGGGCAGTCAGAACCTGCTGTGGGGTTCCACCCACCACACCTCCCCTGACCTGCTCACCAGGCTCAGCTGGGCCGGCTGCTCCGGCTCTGGGGCCTTCCCTGCCACCTTCTCTGCTTCCTTCAGGTCTGTCAGAGTCACGCCCTGGCAGAGGGAAGGCAGTCAGGGAACCGGGCCCAGCAGGCAAGTGGCATGGCTCAAGTCTGGGCCTCCAGATATCCACGCCCCCACTCAGGACCCCAGCCCACCCCCACACCTGTGTAGACCTCCGAGACTGGCGCATAAGGCGGGATCGAGCCTTCCGCTGGGATTCAGACTCCTCATCACGCACAGGCATCTGGTAGGACCTTTGTAAAGGACTCTGACTCAGGGGCTGTCCCTTGGGCCCTGCCCAATCCATGAACACACTCTGAAGGGTGCACATTCTGGCAGAGGGCATTTCAACTCCCATAGACCCTGGACAAACCATCCCTCAGGAGCCCACCCCGAGCTCTGGTGACTCCCAAACACACAGCTGCCCCCTGAAGGCTCCCAAACGTGCTGCTGGCCCCTGGAGTCAGCCCTGCCCACCCTGGCTTCTACCTTCGTCGGTCCCGGGAGTCAGCCAGCGGTGCTGCAGAGGCCGTGGGGACATTTGGCTTCACTGGGGATTCAGGCTCCCCCCTGGAGGGTGGAGTGGAGTGGTCCAAGGAAGGAGGCTTGGCAGCCTCACACCTGCAT